GAGGGTTATCAGGAGTTGAAGAGGTAGCAAGGTTAGAAACGAGAGTGTTGGGATGATTCTGGAGTTTATTATGGAAGGATAGCTATCTGGATTGGGCCAGATCTGAAACAAAAGAAACATTAAGGTCATTATGGATGGTTTTATTTGTAAGAAAGTAGGGAGTATTGAGGATTTTACGAAGGATTTTGGACTGTAATGATTGGATACGAGAGGAATTCGATGGTTTAGTGGAGCTCCATAGCTCAAATCCGTAAGTCCAAATAGGCCTTAAAATAAATAATAATATTTATTTTAACATTTACCTCCTCGTAAAAGTGTTAAAATAAGTAGATTAACAAACTCTATGTTAGCCTCAAATGTACTTTTTATTTATTAGTTAATTTATTTTATGGATACTGAAAATAAAATCTTCTAAACGCCTGATGGTATTCAGATGTTAAATAAAAATTTGTTGAAATTGCATTTTATTTATTTATTTTTATCACTGACTGCAAGGACAGGACCAGGCCTTCTAAATATGACTCTAATTACTTGACAGTGTTATAACTAAGCAAGACAGCGCACAGTGGGACGAGTAAGGGAAAACTCGCGACATCGGCAAAAATATATTTTTATTTATAACTGCAAAAATAAGATAAACTGTTGCATTGATGCCTTCTGGAATTGTTGAGAATATTTTCAGTTGGCAGAATACACATTTTTCACTGTTTTTACTTTCACTTACGTATATATGTAATATATAGTAATGGTAAGTATTGCGATCGTTAAAATTTTCGAATCTCAGTTTTCAACGGAAATACATGTTTTGAGGTCCCCTGAGTTCAAATAACCAAGTGTCGCAAAATGGTCTGTGTGTGTGTGTTAACAGTCTAGCTCATAAACGAAAAGTAGTACGAAACTGATATTAAGTATTTAAGGTTTGTATATGGGCTGGATGTGTCAGCAACTTTTTCGTTAAAATCGGCTAACCGGAAGTGCCACTTTATATGAACGCTGAAACACATTTTTACAATTTTCTCAAAAACGACTCTAACGATTTTGATCAAACTCGGTGTATCATTGTATAATTAAATGGTCTTTAATATCATTTAGGTCTTATCCCCGTTAATGTCACTTTACAGGGCTTAAATGCCCAATGTTCATATATGTCTTCCTCTAAAGTACCTTTAATATGGTTTATTTTAAAAAGTTAACCATTTCGCATTATTCAGAGTTACGAAGAAATGCTACATATAACTTTTGAAAGAATTTGATAAGTTAATAAAGGAGAAAAAAAATGCATAAAAACTTGCGTTCCTACAGACTGTAGCGCCTAAACGAATGTACCGATTTCAATGAAACTTCGCTAAAGTCATTTTCCCGATACCCTTTAAATTTATCTATATAACCTACTACAACGAAAAGGAGCTGGAAAAAAAGTTACGAGGGATGTTAAAATTAAATTCCGAATAACTCAAAAAGTATACACTTTTTGTTGATATAGAATATAGTTTTTTAAAAGTTTATGGAATTTCCTAAAAAAACAAACAAAAAAATCGTTAAAATCGGACAATTAGGAGGAAAGATATGGTCTCTAGTTTTTTTCCCTGAAGAGGTGAAAATTTGGATGAATTTAAAATATATTTTTTTAATTGTTGAGACTAAAAAAACCTTTTTTCTACAGATATTTAATAAAGTTTCTTTCCTAAGAACATCTTTCATAAGAAAGTAGTACCTAAATTTATACCTTTTTTCTCAGTTCTATATTTCAACACTGCAATCACCACCTCTGGAATCAACTTACTCATTGTCTGCATAGATAACTTTTTCAACTAAAAATATCACTAAAATGACATCACTCAAAAATATTAAAATTGGAGTTAGTCATTCTGTGGTTTATAAAAGCAAAGAAAGTTGTGTGGTTTATAAAAGCAGATGGAGTGAATAAATTTGTATTGTCTGTCGTCGATATATTAAATAGACATTTTGTAATTATAATGGTCTTAATGACTTGTTATCTGTAAGCTTTAAGCTTCAGCTCCGTTTAAAATGCACTTCAAACAATTTTATAATAGCCCAGCATTGCCAGAAAATAATTTCTATTCAAAGTAGATCGGTAAGTGAAAGTTGTGTGTTGCGCGCACCAGATTTTTATTTAATAGTTCAATTGAAAAATTGGTCATTTTATGAAATTTGTCCCGATTTGTAAAATTGCTTGGATTGAGTGGTGGTTAATACTTTTTTCTTGAAACTTTATAAAATTTTTACTGTCATTCTGCCTAACTCGAAATATATAAAAATGTATAAAACTTGTTTCAATTCGGATCTTTTTCCCTTTTTGTAAACAAAAATAGGTGGTTTAAAATCAAATTTTCACAAAGATTGTGGTTTTAAAAAGCTCCGATATACTCCGGGAAATTTATTTCTTATAAGTTTTTAGCCGTCCTTGTTAAAGATAAATTCGTATTAATTTAAACCGCCATGGTTCACCTGAAGGTAGTTAAAATATATTTAAAATTATTTGTGTATAAATAAATGACCGAACAATTTCTAGGTATGTACTAATATCTTCTTTAACTAGACATGTTCCAAATTTAGTTTTAAGAATTGTTTTGAACATAGAGAAAATAAGGCTCTGTAGTAATGTGTTTCGAAAAATGCCTGCAACCAAAACAATAAAAAAAAAAAATTAAATATTTTAGCTTCGTTTTCATTGTTTTAAAATTTTAATATTGTCTATCTAGAAAAGAAATAAACTTTTATATTATTCTTTTAACTGCATATAACCATCCTTTATTTTCGCTCTAATCTAAATAAATAAACAAAAAAAATCATTATTAAATGAACTAAAATATAAAATTGAATAAAAGGTGGGGTTAATGGGAATCCGTTTAATAAAAAAACTATTTTTATTTAATTGTTCCACTAATATTTTTGTCCGTTAGTAATAAAATATAATTTTTTTCAATCTCTGACCCTTATTCTTTTTAAATGTCGTTATAATTTTATTACGGTTAATTGAATCTGAGAGTATTTGGCTGAATCTTTATGACTTGGTCTGCATCAGTTGTTAAATATAATAAATATAATCTTTAAAATTAATGAAAAAATTGCATATTTTTTATTCGGAGAATCTGGGGATACTTCCTGGTGATGGGATGGTGTTCAAAATATCATTATCGATAGTTTTTAATTTTTTTTTTTGTACTAAAAATAGAATAAAATGTATAATATTTCATAAGAACTATTATAAAATAAATATTTACAATTGATAAGCGAAACATTTTTTAAGTTATAATATATTCATATATTATAATTATAATTTGTGATTTATTGTGTTTTTTAAGTTAAAAAAAAAATTAAAATAACGATTATGCGTAGTATCCTTTACGAATTCTAGGCCTATTTCGACAAAAACCCGTCTTTCGTCCCACTGTGCAGTGCACTAATGCAAGTGTTTTTTCCACGTTTCTTCGCTTTCCAGAAACAAACAAAAACAGTTATCCTTATCCCTTAGTCACACCTTTAGCTCGCAAATTTAATTAAAACTCACTCTAAAAAATGAAAAAAAAGGTATTATTCCAAACGAAGGTCTTGGCGTGACGTACTTTTCTATGGAAATACGAAATTCTAGGATACTTGAATAAAAACTTCTCCTATAAAAATATGCAATTGTATAATGAAAGGAAGGAGATGGTCCGGGGTGGCGATCATAAATAGGCTGAATAGTAGCAAAAATATTTTATTAAAATCCAACGATTCGACCCGACTTTGCAGGTCTTCTTCAGGGCTATAATGAACAAGATACAAAAAGATAGAGAATTGTGGAAGTTACATAATATTATGACAAAAAATTATAAATAATGTGAATAAAGTTATTAAAATTATAAACAGTAAATGCATTAAAATATAAACAGAGTAAGCTAAATAACAAGATCCTAAACTAAAGCAAATAGATGTTAACAATTGTTGCAGTGCAACATATAATATATGCAAATGTAAATACACTTCTACAGATCTACAGGAGAGATTGAAAGAAAAGGAAAAAGGATATAATATGAAATAATAGACATAAAGGAATGTGTAGAAAGAAGAAAAAATAAATAAATAAGTAAATAAAATTAGAAGAATAAAAATAAAGACTTACAGCTTTGTTCAGCTAGGAGTTTCACTTAGAACTGGAAAATCAGGGTAAGGGCAGGTATTGGGGAATCTGCTGACTTGTTTGGGTAATGGGGAAAAACCTAGAAAATTACAATATCTAAAATTTGAAGATATGGATGGATAAAAGGGAAAAAATACTATATCTATGAAATATTAAATTATAAATATATACATATTCATTTAAAATAGAATTAAGAGATTATAGATAAGAGTACAATGTGAATGAAAACAAAATATACCATACATAGAAATAAGATACCATACATTGCAGAACTAACTTAGAAGTATAGAGAGGGGGGAAAAATATGAATAATTATAATTATATTTGGCTGTATACATGTAAGAAAATTACATTTAAATATTAGATAATATTGAGATATGGTTAAAAAGTAAAATGAATACGTAGTGAAAACGGATGGTCATACATTGATGAAGAATATAATTATAAAATTAAAATTAAATAAAAATCTTAAATGTATGTATGAATGTAAATATAAAATTAAAATCTTCATCAATGTATGGTCATCCGGTTCCACTTTGTATTCATTTTATTATTATTTTTATTCGTGCTTAGACTGTAGAAATTTATGAGTAAACTATGTCAATCATTAAAAACATAGACATTAGAATTATCATAACGCCTTGAAAACAGGGGCTTTGCCGCCCTAAGACCATTGTGCGGCTTGTCACGCGGCTGTGGTCTGCAATAAACAAGAAATCAGTCAATCCCCATTCAAATTATCGAACAAAATTAATTAATGAGCAAGGATTGTTTTTTTAACTTGGCTTAACAGACAATTTAGATCTTTTTCTACCTTCCAAAACGGTTTTTGCGTCTCACATATGTCCTTTTGTATATGTTGCAGCAAAAAAGAAAAGTGGACTTGTTAACTATTACGCACCCGAAGAATATGTCACCAAATGGAAAAGTGCATTGCATTGTGATACTAGGTCGCGTTCATCCAGGAGAATCGCCGGCTTCGTACGTTTGTCAAGGTATGATGACTTTAACAGTGCACATAACGGTCAATAGTTCAAAATGTTAACAGATTAATATGTATAAGGCCTATGTTAATTTATTTTGAGTGGGTTGTTCCAAAAAAATCATATTAAAATGTTGCAGGTATCATTGATTTCTTGGTGAGCAGTCATCCTTACGCTGTGATCTTGAGAGAAAGTGTTGTGTTCAAAATTATACCGATGCTGAATCCAGATGGGGTTTTCATGGGAAATCATAGGTAACTACTTTATAATATATTATTTTTAATAATTTTTTATGGGTGCATAATGAGTATAACCCATATGCACAGACCTATATACGATTATATACAAATCTATGTTTGTCCACTATAGGCTCGCAAATTGTACAATCATTAGCCCTTAAATTTTCAAGCGAAGTTTAAAATTCTGTGCGGTCTTTGGAAGATTTATTGGAATGAAGTTCACTTAGAAAAAAAAAATTAAACGTGATATATTAATTACACTTACATTTAGTTTTCATGTGTTTCATATAATAATATTGAGCAGTTTTGAATACTACTTTACAGAAATGAATAAAAAGAAAGCATAAACAAATTAACAACTTAATTATTAACAAAATATATTTTAGAATTTATAATTTAATTTATAATCCTATACATTTATTTTCCGTGCATCGAATTTTCTATTTCTAGCGAGGGATCGACCCCCCGCCTGAATATATTACAGTATCCAGAGCTACCAACCTCTACCTTTATTTCAATGTTTATTTTCTTCCCCTATTTAAAAAGTCGACTTGTTTTGTAGGTGTGAGAAGTTGTAGATAAATTCAAAGGTTATCGAAACACTCAGGTATACATTTATGTTGTTAGCAGTGATTATTCAGAACAGAACCGATGAATATTCAGTGCATGTCGGAATCATTCAATAAAGTCAGAATCGGTAATTAATTGTCCAAACAATTTGAGGAACATTCGGGTGATTCTCTGATAAAACAAGATTCTCTGAACGAGTGATGAAACTAGGTGATTCTTTTACACCTGTCTTATTTAATTAGCATTGCAAAATGACATTAGGGAGCAGGTACTTATAAAGGACTGGTACTCGAAATAAATACCGATTAAACAAAATATATAGTCAGTTGAAAAAAAACGACGATTTCGGTAGCATAGAAAATAAATGACATAGCAAATACATTTAAGAACATAGTGAATTTAAGGCAGTTATTTTCTGCGATAACTATTAAAAACAAAATTGAAGAGAAGTTTTGAGATTGGGTAAAGACGGCAAATTCTTTTTATTTGTCTGTAGTAAAACTACTTAGCTTGTGCCTCCTGTTCTGAGACTTGAAAATTACAATTTACAAAATTATCCCACCTACGATTCAAGTACTACTATCCATTATCCATTATCCATTAGTACTACGATTCTTTATGGATACGAAACGAGGCCGCTTTCATTGAGGAATGAACAACGCCTTAAAGTTTTTGAAAATAAAGTATTGCATAGAATATTTGGACCAAAGAAGGATGAGTCTACCGAAGAATTTAGGCGGTTACACAACGCCGAATTTCGTGGTTTGAACCGGGTTAATATAACTGCTGTGATCACTTCGCGGTGATTAAAATGGGTATGTAAAATAGTTGGGCTTGGTAATGAAGGAATCCCTTTAAATGATAATTTACGCTGGGCCGACTGATAATCGTCCGAAGGGTAGACATAAGCAAAGGTGGAAAGATCAGCGTTGCCTATTCTGGTGAGGTAGGACGGCGACCGATGGAAGGAAGTATATAGGCAGCAATTAGTGGCATCAACATCTAACCTTCAGGTTTGCTAAGCCGTTTATTATTATTATTTATATTTTTTTAAATATAAAACTTCATATCGTTAAATGAAATGACTATATATCTGCCAGGGTCAGTTTGGTGAATTGATAATTCAAATTTAAATGTAAATGAGGACTAGATACCCATCAGATAAGACATATTACAACAAATTAACTAACCAACTAAAAGCTGAAATTAGAAAATACAAAGTTCAAAATTTACTTAACATGAAAGAAAAACTTACTACTTCTGACAAATCACTTTGGTTGACCACTAAAAACCTCCTTAAATTCAAAGATTTTAACCAACCACTTATTACTGAAACCCAAACCTGGTCCAGATCTGACGAAGAAAAATCTCAAATATTTGATCAGCACCTCTCAAAAACATTTAATCCACACCCAGATATCCTTAATATAGCCCACCTTGAGTTTATTGAAGCAGAATTGGATATCCCACTCCAATTGACTCCTCCACCTCAAGCATTTCATCCTTCAGAAATATCCAATATCATTCATAGATTACCTTCCCGCAAAGCTCCAGGACATGACCTAATCACATCCCAGATCCTAAAATTTCTTCCTAAAAAGCCATACTGTTCCTAACCTATATATATATATATATATGTATATATATATATATATATATATATATATATATATATATATACATATTTATATATATATAATGCTGTACTCCGAACCACATATTTTCCTGACCCTTGGAAAATATCCATTGTCAAATAGGCTCTAAACACATTATCCCAGATCACCAATTTGGATTCCGCACATCCCACTCCACTATTCAGCAATGCCATCGTGTGGTAGATGTAGTCTCCTCTGCATTGGAGCGCGGAATGTACTACGAGGGAGTTTTTCACGACGTTGAACAGGCGTTTGATAGAATCTGGCATCCGGGACTGATGTACAAACTCCGTTCCTACCTTCCTGACAGATACTTCCAAGTCAATCATAACAATGCTTATTCATCCCCTTTTACTCAGTCAAGGTAGTATCCTAGGTCCTATCCTTTACACAGTTTATATAGCTGACATCCCAACCCAATCCAACACTGTCATCACCACCTATGCCGATGACACGTGTATCCTATCAGTTAATAACGATTCATCTATTGCATTCCAAACTCTTCAATCACAAATCACAACTCTCGAAAAATGGTGTCAAAACTGGAGGATTAAAATAAATTCCAATAAATTCCATCAAATTACCTTCACGCTTCGTCGTAAACCTCTGACTTCCTGTCCTACAGTATCCTTCAACAATAGCCCTCTTATCCCTGTCGAACAAATCCGATGCTTAGGACCTTGACAAACGACTCACTTGGAACCCCCATACCAGACTGAAACGATTAGAAACCGCCCGACGTTTTCGGCTACTGCAGTACTTACTGGACAAACGCTCTAAGCTTTCAATCAATTACAAACTACTCATATATTTGACAATAATAAGACCTATTTGGACTTACGGAATTGAGCTTTGGGGCTCCACTAAACCATCGAGTTCCTCTCGTATACAATCCTTACAACCCAAAATCCTTCGTAAAATCCTCAACGCTCCTTACTTTGTCACAAATAAAATCATCTATAAAGACCTTAATGTTCCATATGTTTCCGATTTGGCCCAATCCAGATACCTATCCTTCCATAAAAAACTGCAGAACCATCCGAATCCTCTCGTTTCAAACCTTGCTTCCTCCTCGATCCCTGATAACCCTCCGAGGCGTCTGAAAAGAAGATGGCCTCGGGACCTTCTAATATAGAACTTTAATTTGAGTTCTACCAATGGGTAGTTTCTCTTCATGTTGTACATGTCATGTTACTAATGTCAGATTTAGTTGTTGTATTTTCTATGTAATACAGTTGTAAATTTCATTCAAATGAAAAAAAAAATGTAAATGATTTAAAAATAGTAGAAAAAATGTTAATCTTGCTCTCTCTTTAATGCGTTAGTTCATGCAAGCTCCGTAACTCCTATTAATCAACAGGCTGAACACCTCGCACGAATTAGTAACATTCATTTCTGAATCAAATACCTTGTCAGAAAAAAAAAACTTTAAAAGCACTTCCCAAACAATTTCAATATTCCATAAACCAAAAGTCAAATAAATATCAAATTTGGTCTTAAAAATGAATGATCTAAATTGCACCTACAACCAACGATTGAAGTGACCAGTATATGTATTTTACTTACTGTAGAAGACACCCAATTTAAAATGATATTTAATAAATAAAATATTTTTTTAAATCTAAAAAAAAAAAGTTTTCTTATCACTATTTAGGAACCTAAACTATATAGACAGGTTTTGTAGGACCACATCATTGATTACATAACAAAAAGTGCTCCTAAACTTTCTTAAAAAAGGTAATTAAAAAATTAAAATCTGGATCCGCTACTAGCCAAGGGGTTTTGGGTTGAGGTCAGTAATTCATACAGAACTGGAACCAGATTGGTGAGGAACCACACCCTTATGAAAGCCTAGGCCGGAACTTTATCACTGATTTCATTCCTATGTATCCTATTATCTTATTGAACCAACAAACATCATCTTTATAGATATAAATTGCATGCCACGTTAAGAAGCATTATCACATTAGAAAAAAAATTCATAGATTATCAAACTTACAATATATTTTTTTATTTCCATATAAAACAATATAGAAATAGAATTGATGTTTTATTTCATTTTATTTATATTCTCATATCATAAAATAATTTAATGAATACATGCGCGTGCAGAAAAGACTTTATTCCTCAAAGCCTGAAGAAAGGGCTTATGTATTTTTATATATAATGAATGTTTCCTGGAAGGGACTGACTGTGGCATATCCTTTTCACATATGATGAAGAGAACATACAACATGAAAGAACTGGTGAAAAAAGAACTAAGACCCGTCTTTTTGTGTTTTTTTTTTCATAAATGTCAATATAATGAACCTCAAGGCTTTTTTGAATTTCCAGTATATTTGATCCTTTGCTTTACTACTTCTATTTTTTTAAATAAATATTTATCAAAGGATTCAATTTATATGTTAAAAATAAACATCAAAAGAATTCAAATGGGAAAATCCAAATCATTAACGCTGGCTTGATTCTTTAACATATAGGTGAACAGTTAATATGTAAACGTTTGTTCGATTTAGGCATCATTAAGACAGAAAAAACAAGATCACATATATGAAGGAAAAAAAATTACAAGCAACATCTAATATATCGACCAAGTCATCCAAATATATACTGAAGAAAAACAGAAGGTTGCATAGACGCAGTAGAGGAAGGTTATATTAAACAGCTGATTAGAAGAGATGTGAATAGAAGAAGAAATAAAAATACACATACTAAGTTTTGCCATTCCTTCAACGAGTGGATCGAAGATCTTGAGTGGATGATTTTTTGATTTTTTAATAATTTGGATAGAAGC